TTATTAAATGGCTGTGAGAGAGCCCGGCCGACCGCCGGTATAAACGCACCAATGGTCATAAGTGTGCTCGCGTGCGTCTCGCCGAGTTCCTCGCACAAGGGCCCTCTCGCTTCAACTCGCCTCATCTGCCCTCTCCCTCGTTGGCGTGCGTCATACATGACGTCATCTGATTCCCTAAGCCACACGTTTCTCATTATGCATGCGAAACTTTTCTCATTCCACACATTTGAACACACTAATTGTGTTTCTAGCTTTTGAAGGCAGGCGCATGCCGGCGTTCTAACCCTACTTGAAACATTGTTTCCCGTCAGATCGACGATGTTAAACAGAAGCGCTGTGTGTAGGGGAGAAACAGGAAACGTTGCAGTGATTGCCCGGCCATTTCGATGAAATCGCTACTGTTGAGGAGGAATCTCTGTTGTCACATTCTCGTAGAAGAACAGATCGATTAAAACGAGTGATTGCAGAGATTTCTTAATTCACCTATTTAATATATAAATGAGTAAGTTAACTAATTTTCATTTTTATGTTTTAAAAATGTACATCTCAAATTCTATGCATGATAATTCCTTTTTCAGTACAAAAAAAACTTCTAATAGTGCCTCAGTTTAATTTGAGGCATTCATTAAGCTATTTTTACTTTCCAGAATAGTACTCTTATATCTTCAACAATGTTACCACTCTTACATTAAAGACTTCAAAAACACTCTACTAAATTTTCATAAAATATAAATGTACATGATAATCTGTTCTAAACTGATTTAGAACTTTAAAAAGTTATATTGAAACAAAAAAATTAAATAAAAACAGAAATTAACTTTAAACAAAGGGTTTGTTTTACCATTGCATCCATTACGTTGAAATCTCGACCGTATATTTCCAACAGATACGGTGGAAAGGAAACAGTTAAGAATTCCCATGCGTCAGTGCAAATCGATACAGATAGAAGTAACGGAAAAATACATTGATACTCTCCTCTACCACTCCACGCTGGCGATCACTTTCTAGGAACTCAGTGTTTCACCAACCAAAGTAATTTGATACCCCTTAGCCTTCTACAATACGTAGAAAAATTCATCTCTGAAGTTAATTGGAACTTAATGTATATTAAATTATTCCAAGGACAAATATTTAGTCACTGTCACAGAGAAAGTCCACATCGTAAGAACTATTCGCGTGACAAACCTTTTCGACATCAAATCCTTCTTCAAAATATTCGAATAGCAATTAAACAGAGTATTCCATGTCAATTGTATTTTGAAGAAAGTAGATGAGAATTTTCGCGCACTTTTCACAATCAGCTATTTCCTAATTATTTTCTTGGGGGGGGGGGTGATATTAATGACTATTCAAAAAATTGTTTTGTTATACCTATTTCCATTTTTCTCATTTTCATATAATGTTACTTATTTCAAAAAATTCCACAAAAATTATATTTTGGATACCGAGACCAGTGCTCTGTTTGACTAGTGCCAACAGAAATCTTTCCTCGGGAGATATATAGCCAACGGTGTGGTTTCGTCAAATAATGTTTTCGTACACGCACTTCCTAAGTTACTAACGACATCCTACATGTCGTCACGTTGACTAATTTGCGACAATCTATAGATCAACAATATTCACAGAACTGCGCATCCATAATTAAAATATGCAAATCAGGCGCACGGCAGGCGAGCTGGCTGTGCCTAGTTTTGTACTCAATTCAACACAATATTTGACATCGACAGTAACAAAAGTACAAAGTGTGAATGAAGATATTATCTAACATGAGAAGTGGATATTTAGGGGTACACTAAATTAAAGCATTGATAAGTATTTAAATAGTGAAAATTGTATGAATTTATTAATTATTATTTATTTATTATTAACAATTTTAGAATATTATTAATAATTTATTATTACTTAATTTATTATTTATAATTATTATTTTAATTATTATTTATTATTTCGTTTTTTTAGGGGTGTCAATTATTATGGTCTTTAGAACGTTCCGAAGTAAGTGTAGTGCATGTCCCTTCCTTGAGAGGTGGCGGGGATCTTCCCCTGCTGGAAGGGGAGATCCCGCGCTCGCCTTCTCCAGGTATTACCCTTTCACTTCCCAGCGGGGCACCACACCGGGCCGGGACAAGCTTTAAGCAAGCTCTCGGCCGACCTCCTGACTTGGGGAGCGGTGTTGGCCGTGTAACAATTAATGTGTGTGTATGTGTGTGTGTTTGTGAGTGCGCGAGTAAGGGGAGGAAAGACGACAAGTTTGAGGAAAGGCAGATCGCTCGCAGTCCGTTTGACAATGTACTTCTCCAGCATTTGCCTGGTGCGATCGACACAACTACGAAAAACTACCGATCAGAGATGCCGGCCGCTAGAAGCAACCTCCAAACGGCTGAACTCAACCTAGCTCTACAGCAAGTGCCGAAAGTTCGCCACCGTCGGAACTCAAACCATAAGCCCTCTGGGTCAGAATGCCGCTACTGAGCCTCAATACCCCAATTCACTCGATTCACCAGAATCAACACCGCCGATATCTAATAAATATCGATTCTCGAGATACCGAGAGTATCGCGGGGCGCGTCGAGGGGCGACAGCGGGAGGTCGAGGCCTGCTCCTCCCAGGGAATTCGGCCGCCGCTCCGCGCCGCGCCGCGCCGCGCCGCCGGCCGGATAAAAACGTACTTGTTTTTTCTGCGATCTGTCAGAGATGCGGCGGCGTCGGATTTCTCATTAGGTCCACCGCATCGGCCGTCGCCGGCGCGGGCGCGGGCTCCGCCTGTCGTCCGCCGTGATCAATGCTGAGTGACGCTCCGAGAACTGGTTTCGCCCTGAGTTGTCGACAGGCGATTCTGTTGTGCGTCGCGGAGCCTACATGCGCAGAGGGACCAGAAAGAATGAAAGGGGCTTCGTTGTTTTTGAGGTGGCTTTGGAACAACATCTAATTGACGGCGTTGTCAAGTCAGCCGGGATGTTATCGACGTAAAAAGCACAATGTACAACAACAGATTCGTAATGCGCGAAAGAAAATTCGTTGATGCAGATGAATAGATTTCAAATTCTGTCTGATGAAGGAATATGAATTCTGACTTTGTATCTACGTTTTGTAAGGCTACCACACCGAGTAGGTGTGAGAGTGTTAGGACGTATCAATGGAGAACGCAAGGAATGGAAACTTGATGAATATACGTGTGGCAATGATTTGGCGGATGGGTGAAAAAAACCTTCACGAACCCACTTCGCTCTTCTTAAAATCTACATGGAAAATCTAGATGGCCGGGATTTTAAGCTCGTGATCTGGAGATAAAGACGCCAGGTGCTTCTCGCTACACGTCGAGTCGCAGGCCAGACAATATACTAGAGTAATACAACATTATTCTCACTAGAAATTTATTGCTCGCCTTCGAAAGAAAATTTTATTGCCTTTTACTGCATACAAAAGGAATCGACTTGAAAATGTGCACTTGAGACTATCTGTATCACCTCTTTCACTAATTTTTAGCGAGAATTATCAATCATCATCTGTTATCTTCACGATTTTAAGAACAAACATCCTTTCTGATGCACAGATGACTCAAAATTGCAAATATTTACCAGCCTTCTGCCATGGTATGTGCTAAAACTCAATGTAATTAAAGAACAGGAAAAGCAGAATTCGTGTTTAACACCAATGAGACAAATAAAGAGTTAATTACTTACACAAGAACAGCCAACAAAAAAACATCAATGAAACTTGAAATCAATGAAATTATTTCTCTTCTAAGATTCCTTTCAAAATAAGCTCGAAGAGTCGCAGCTAAAGAAGCAAATAATGTATTTTTAGCACCTGCGGTGGAAACGTTCTCTTCGCTTCTTGAAAAGAGACAGTAAATTATTAATTCCCTAAATCGGATATTCTTCATCAACTTACTAACTTTCCATTATCCAAGCTAACAAAAAAATATTTCTTTTTATTTCGTAACAAGAGTCTTCCGTTGAGTATTAAAGGAAGAAACAACCTGAGCCACTTTAATCTGATTTTGATTATCATCACAGTGGTGGACAAAGTTTACCTACGACGAGTACAGTGCCATGAAAAAACATTGTGTATGAATTTTAAAAGCTTATGGGTGTGAGGGCAGCCTCATTGCCCTGCATACAAGAGGCCGGACACGCATTTCCATCAGAAATAAAAATTACTTACGAACGCCATACCTGTGGCCATACTAATGTAATTTAATTCAGGCTAAATGTAAGTTCCTTTTCTTAATTTAGAGAAGATACTAATACAATAATGGTATGTCCAAGTATCATTCTCGATGATCAAATAGTTTCAAAAGATACATTATTACATCATTATTTTAAAGTGTTTCAATTATTTTGTGTTTACTTTGCATTTTAGTTATTATTCAGTATAATCTAGTAATATGTCTGTAACGATATATTTTTCTTCTTAAATATTTTACAATTGCCTAACAATAATATTGCAATAGATTATATCGGTTAGAAATTAAGCATACATTGTGATACAATATGAAATCTTTTGAGTAATCTCCACGCTTTTTTGAGTAATCAGCAGGCCACGCTTTAAATTATTACATTTTTACTAACACAAATTACAGAACCTGATTGGGTCAAGAATGATCTATAAGCTGCTCTCTGGCACAATTAATTGAATTTAATTTAATAAATATTTTTCAGCATGGAATAAAATCAGTTTTATTTCGCCAAAAATACTTGACAATTGGTAATTCAAACCATCACACATCAGCAGTTTCCAAAACGGATTCTGCAAAAGGACAAGGAATTTTATAGCCAAAACATAAATGAGAGAAACGTGGAGCATCTTAATTGGTAATGTCAATAGACGTCTGGAATGCCCCCCTGGATAACTGACTTCATTCTCATTCCTGCCGTGGAGCCCTCCGAGAACACTTAACGCGAAAAAAAAGGCCGCCAGCAAACCCGGCCACCTGTTGTCGAAACGTTATCGACCGCGGGCGGCTGGGCGACCGAGTGCTGCCCTTCCGTCGCAGATCGCGGCGTTGCAGCGCCCGCCTGTGCCGCGGCGACCCTCCCAAGGGCCAGGGCGAGGGCGCGCGCGCCACGGTGGCCGTCAAGGCGGCCGCCGAGGGCGGGCCGATCGCGGTCGTCGTCGGCGACGGCGATGAGGGCGGCGAGGGCGGCGAGGACGCCGAAACGTGGCTGGTGGTGCCCGACACTCACGAGGGCCACCCTCGGCGGAAGCGGTGAGTGCCCTGAAGAGCGTTTGCGATTCGCTGGAAATATCGCCCCCCCCCCGTTAGGGCCCCTTCCCACGGCGCGGCCGCGGCGCGCTTCGCAGCAGCGCGGCGCGTAGCAGAGCATTGGTTTGAATGGAGGCCTTCCCACGTGCAGCGGGTGGCGGCTGCTGCGGCAGCCGACGCCGAACTCCAGCTACGCGAAGCGGAGGAGGGGCCACGCGCCACCTCTAGCAGGACACAGCTTTAAATGGGAGCGTTCCCACTGCGCCGCGGCCGCAGCGTTCTACCTGCTCCGGTCCCTTTGTTCGTCGTCGCCGGAGGGTCGGCGAAACCTACCCCTCCAGACCCCACCCCCTTCCACGGCGGGCGGCGGCGCGGCCGTGGCTCCGGCGGTGGCTGCGTCGGAAGGGCTCTGCTCCTTGAAGGAAGCGCGCCGCGGTCGCGCCGTGGGAAGGCGGCCTTAGATGAGAGCGTAGGCTTCTGCGGTCGGAGTCAGTTGCTACTTAGCACTTCGCTCTTCGAAGGTCGCAGAATGGCGGACGAAACTTTGGCAGCTGTGGTTAGTTAGGCCGCGGCGTCTTCCGTCCAGCCAGGCAGCCACAGGCGAGATGTTTCGACGCGTCATGGCCGACTGCCGAGGTTTTCAACAGAAGGAATGCAAGCGGCATGTGAAGCGTAGATGGCAAACCCAATAGCCCAATATTGCAGAGACAGGGGACTCAATAGAGCCAGTGTAAAAGCTCCACTTTCGGGAATAGAATTTCAATCTTAAACCTATTAATGCACGAATTAATTCCACTGTAGGTAACGCTCGCTCATTGACGCCCAAGCCTGCGTACGCAATGCTTTGTTGGAGCTATCTCGTACCATGTGTTTGCAACTCTTATCACCAATAATATTATGTACCTATATTATAATAATAGAGCGTAAATCGTTTAATACGAGAATTTTTGTATAAAAAGAAGTAAATCGTTCTTCTTTTCCGTGCATCCTCCGTCCAGTTCAGTGCGGACCGACCACCGTTCACACTCAATGGCCTCTCCCTAATTGAGTTTTTCAGTTTTCTCATATTCATGTCTTAATGTTCACATTTTTAAGACTAAATAGGAATTAATAGACCCTTAATTTTGCATTAAAAATTAAATATTGGCATAAAATTATTTTTAATAAATGTTATTCGCTAAAAAAATTGAAATTCTAGTACTTACATACCTTTATTAAACAATTTAAAATTTGATAATATAAAAATACACTTTAATAAAATAAATATCCACTATTTAAACCCAAACACGACAATTTATGTAAGAAATTTACTATTGTTATTGAGCAAGATTTTTAGTTATATTGATCTCACACTTCACACACCATAGAGTTTATTTCTGGTAATCATCTTCTGGTCCTTCCTTCTTCATCGACGTGTTGATGACGGTCTTACAAGTTCTCCTTTGTCCTCTTTTGGAAGGGATCGACGTAGAAATGGTTTCTGGTTTGATGAAGTGGAAGGGCGGTTGTTTACATTGTAATTCTTATCACTCGTCTCTCGACCTGCATAATGAGTTAGCTCTTTGTTACGTATTCAGTTCAACAGAGTATACTGACAGTGTCTGACAAAATATGTTTTGAATAACCAAATCCATTTTTTATTTCTTTTAAAAAGCATGATTTTTTTCATATTTTTGAGGAGACGATAAATATTCATCAACATTTATACATATTTGCGGATGACAGCCAACTTCTCTCTTAACTATCTTTTTAACATTTTTCGGAAATATAAACGACAACAAAGGCACTAACATTAGCAATAATGATCGAGAATTCATTACTTGCTGTGACAATAGTTTTTGCTTGTGATAATGGATAATGGCTTGTTGTGTCACCAGCATTCTTCTCTTTCTTTTGAATAATATTCAGAACAGACTAAATTTACTTCAATTTTTTCTATTTTTTTGCCTATTTTGAGCTCATTCTAAAGCAATTTCCTTTTCTCATCTCTAAGGACAAATTACAACTATCTTCTTTATCGGATTGTACTGGAAATCTGTAATTTCTGTATCTTACTCCTAGAAACAATGAATGTTCTCTAATACCGGCTGGAGTAATTTTGTCCGACTCAAAATTGTTTTCAAAACATGTATTTGTCACCTTCAGCCTTTAAAGGTAATTGAAGAGGTGTCCAGTTAGTAGCCTTAACGAAGTCTATAAATATTGTTTGAACGAGACGAAATTGAGACACCATCCACAACTTTACTTCGTTTCATTTATTTAGCATAGGATAACTGGATGCAACAAAGGTTATAAAAAATTTTGAGTAGTGAACATCTCATACAGCGTTAAAACTTTAATAAAACATCACAAAGCTTACACTAAATAGCGAGTTTTTATTATTATTTTCGGGCTAAATTATTAAGATTTTTTCATTTATTGAAGAAGTACTTTTAAATCTATGTTGTTAAAAAAACAAGAATATGGAAGAAACTCCATTTTGTAGACTAACACATCAATAAAAAATTAAAGGAAATGTTGATGATTGTACTATTATGACTGTAAAGTGCAGGGTAGAATTAGGTTAACTGTACTAGTTTTTGCTTTTTGCTTTTTTACATTAATTTTCATTCAGTTGGCCAAACGTTTATTACATAAAGTTACGCCACAAATAAAGAACATATTTTTTTAAAAAAATATTAAGATTCTACCTTTAACAAAAAATTAACGGGATTTGGAAAAGGGACTGAGAAAAAATGGTTGAACCACAGTACGCTGTGATATTAACTGAACCACCCGTTAGAGTTAGTTGTGTCATAGTTAGTTGTGCGTGTTGAACACAATTCTATATTAGGGAGAAATATTCCAAAACAAACAAGCTATAATTTATTGTGAATAATTTTGTAATAAAATAAGGTATTTTACACAACAAATCGTCTACTTTGAAGATGAACTATCGATTCGGCATATTAAATTTTACCTATTCACATGCAAGGGTGCCTGCAGATTTGATAATTCTCAAGCTAGTTAGATCACTAATTAATCCAATTAACAAGTAACTTTTCTTCATGTGAAAAATTCAAATCTTGATTACTGAGACTAAAATTAACATATTCTACAGTCTTATTGCCTAACAACACTATCTTGTCCATGTTGCTCTTGGAATTCAAGTACCCTTGTGCAATTTTCGGATTGGAATATTTCTTTATTGCATCCTTCAACAGCTTCTCAGGAGTGAGTGAGTACTGAAAGTTTCTGGGGGCGTGAAATACTTAGGTGATTAGTACCGTGAGTGTAGTGAATGTTATAACCGGAAGGTCACGGTGACCCTCCCCGGAAGAGCGTGAGATCCCGCGCTGACCTACACGTTGGCTTAAGGGCTTCTCTCCTTCCAGATATTTCCCCTAGCGGGGCACCGTCCAATAAATGATAAGCTCTAAGCGCACGGCTGGTCTCTAGGTATGTGTGGTGGTGTAGCGCAAGTGAGTGTAACAACAACCGTGTGTGTGGTTGAAGTGGAGGGGACATGAATGAGGTAGAGTAGTTCGCCCGCGGTCCGTTTGATAAAGCATTGCTCCGACATTCACTTGGATTAGACAGAGAAACCACAGGACACTATCGAGCAGCCAGGCGCTAGAATTATCCTCCAGACTACGGCTGAACTAGACTTAGCCATAGTGCAGCTAATTTCGAAAAAATCGCCAATGCTGGAATCTCCCGGGGCACTGCAGCGGACACGGTTGTTATCATTGGTCTATCTGGATGGTGGTCCTCTCAATAATTTCGACAGTTGGTTGTTGAAGCTCTCACTATTGGCATCTTGAGCTCTAAATTAAAAAAAATTAAGATAGCATATCCAGTACGTTAACTGAGCCACTGTTAACATATCCTCAAAAGGTTTGGCACAGTTAATCCCGTTGACACTTTTAAATTGTTATAACTTAACCTCAAGCGTGACTTAATATGGAACGTATTAATTTAATAAATGCCAAACTGTTCTCGATTTCAACTACATGATTACGATATTTATTTGTTAATTTTATTTACGTATAAGTTTCATTTATATTATCGAGAAAAAATATACCTGCCTTATTCAGATTTAAAGGATAAAATAACTCCACAACGGCAACAACATCAATAGCATTGTATCCGCTACATATGTGCAGTAGAGCGTTCCTAACTAATTTTAGAACAAATTAAAATAAAAATTCCCTAGAAGAACATGTTACGTGAATTGGCTCAGTGAATCTCCATGTCTGTTAAGTTCACTCTATCTTGCATTGCACTACAGTCATGAATGTCAGCATTTTCAATGTGTGTGTTTACTAAACTCTATGTCGTCCAATTTAACATTAATTTGGTACGGATGATCATGAATTTTTCACGCCCGAAATATCCGCCGTATTAGTCTAGGAGATGTTTCTCCGAGATCACAAATCACGGCAAATGAGTCCTTAGCGGCACGTATTGTTTTAAGTACACCATCGATATCAAATCACTTTAGCATGAAATGTTGTTCAGACGGTACCAACAATTTTATGGCATGCTCAGTGAGGAACATTATTTCACCGAATCGATTGGGAGTTTGACATTTGCAAAATTTCCAGTTATGAGATACTGTTTATATTCAAATATTCACATAGAAGTTATTCACATCCCTTTGTTAGCCAACCGCGACCTCTAGGGGAAGGTGACCCACTGAATCTGAGAACGCTAGCAATTGAAGAAGTTCAGTTAAAACCGAAAACACGAGAATAAAAATGTCTGGCGTGTTTCTCTCACTATCTCTCTATCTCTCTCAATCTCTCTCAATCTCTCTCTCTCCATCTCTCTCTTCATCTCTCTCTCCATCTCTCTCTCCATTTCTCTCTTCATCTCTCTCTATCCATCTCTCTCTCCATCTCTCTCTATCCATCTCTCTCTCCATATCTCTCTATCCATATATCTCTCTATCCATATATCTATCCATATATCTCTCTATCCATATATCTCTCTATCCATATATCTCTCTATCCATATATCTTCTATCATATATATTCAGAGTATTTCTACTTGTATCTATTCTCTCTCATATTCTTCTCTCTCCACTCTCTCTCTCTCCACCTCTCTCTCTCCATCTCTCTCTATCCATCTCTCTCTGTCTCTCTGTCTCTCTCTCTCTCTCTCTCTCTCTCTCTCTCTAACACACACACACACACACACACACCACCACACACAACAGTCTATTGATTCGCCAAAGCACAGCTCTTAACGCGCCCCGTTTAACGGCTGGAATACAGCGCCTCACTGGCGCGCGAAGGGCTGGCGATCCCCTCGCGGGCGGCGAATGCTCCGGGGGCGGCGATAACGAGGCGGGCGCGGCGGGGACGCGACGCGACGCGGCGGGGTAAATAGCGGGCAGCGGCCGGAGCGCTCCTCTCGGCCAAACAGACGAGGCCACGATTGTGAACGAAAGGAAGCTCCCGCCAGATAGCACTTTTAACGCCGAGGTCGTTACTAGCCGACACGTGCTCCGGCGCCAGGTGGCCGAGGGAGAGGTCGGGCGCGGAGCCGCGATCGTAACGCGCGCCCAGGCGTGCACGCGTGAGCACAGCGGCGGCGCTTACTGTCGCTCCGATGTCGCGCTCTGAAATCGGGGGCGGCGGAGCAGGGTGAAGTAAATGCCATGGCCCAGTAAACGCGTCTGTGATATCACTTTTGTATTATAACTTTCCCTTTCATCAGAGATAGTGATGAACGACTCGTTCGTTGGTCGTTATTTTGGTGATGACCTGTGATGAAGTAATGATAAAATAAATGTGAGTGAGAACAGGAAAAAATCGTTGGAAACTTACCGTGAGCCCTGCTCTAACACAAATTCTACACGCTCATATGCTACAGTCGTCGTTGGCGTACATAGTATTTATTTTGAAGAATAAACGCATTATCTTTGCATAATGTTGATCTACCACGTTTCATTTTCATTTTCAAAATCCCCCAAATATTCTTGTCTTGTCAATATTTTGTTCATAATTTCTTTGCTTCAATTTTAAATAAAAAATATAGTATTATTACATTATATGTCGGACTTGTGGTACGATCTTTTTAATTACATCTAATTATATCTTTTTTATGCTACCATCACATTCATCCTTCCTGCATTTTATGTTAATACCCCTCGTTTCTACCCTATAACTCATCTTACATCTCATTAATTTTTTCTTTTCACCTTCTTCCTCTTATTACGTTCATTACAACATTTCTCATTAGATCCACCTACATATCCTCTTACATAAACCTCCTTCTCCGGTCTTCTTTCAGAATTATTATCTCCTCTTTCCATACTCTTCCTTCTCTCGTGCCCTTGTCCGTTCCTGGTTTGACCACACAGGAACACTACACAGGAGAAGGCGTCTTTTGGGTGGGACGAACGATCGTCCCGGGTCTGAGTTTGGCAGAAGTCGCCAACATTAAAAAACTATATATAGTTCATTCTTTGTTTATCTATAATATATTCGTAAAATAAATATTATGTAGTGTATTTAAGTTGTTAAAATTATTATAAATTTGTAAAGTTTGTCTTTCGCGGAGGGATGGTGAAGAAAAGTATATTATGCGCACTAACAACCTAGAGGTCACGCCTACACAGAGCACTTTTCTTTTAGCTTCCTTTGGCAAGTATAAATCGAGAAATGCAAAACGAAGTAATAGCATTAAATATCGCTATTCTATAGTCCAATTTAAATGTAATATCTCTGCAAGGTCACTAGCTGAAAGAAGAGAGGGACACTGTCATCCAATTGGGAGCATCGTTTAGACTTAAACATTTGGTATTGAAGCTCCCGATTGGATGACAGTATCCCCCTCTCCTCCCAGCTCGTGTCCTTGAAGCGATACTACATTTAAATCTATCTATAAGATATGACTTGTTCCTTAATTGAGAATTCTGACAATGAATGACAATTCGGGTGTTCCAAATATATCTCTCTTCTTTCGGTAGTGATTGTAACTGCCTCGTTAAAGTATTTTGGCCTGTGAAGATTTTTCGAAGATCTTAGAGTGAGAACCTAACTTCAAATTGCGCTTGACTTGTTGGCTTCTGTTTTATTCATTTATTTCAAATATTAAGTGTATTTCATTTGATATGTAGTAAAAACGTAAATCACGATGCATTTTTAAATGTGAATTATTATGAATGAAAAACTTTGCAGGTTTTGTTCAAGATGGGGACTCTGCCATTAAATCCTCATTTCGATTATGTTAATTGGAAAAAGCATCATGAATCCATCAATACATTTTAAGATCGTTTGTAAAACATGCTTTTCATCGTTGTTCATTCGAGGTCCGACAAGCTGAAAGTTAATCCTCGACTAATCAGTTCAGAAATCATTAGTCCTTCGTTTACCAAAGAGACATTTAGGGAGGTGTGAATTCAGTCATTGTGATAAAAGTGAAAGAGAATAGAAAGAATCAGGTACGATTCAGTGATTGTGAACTGAATATGCCTGTCCAGATATTTGATAGCATTGACCCAGCATTCGCGATTCAAATCGTTAACCAGAAACCGATCGATAGGAGACCTTGGTGGCTCAGCAAAAAGTCGTGCTCCTTTTCCATGCGCCAGGCACCGAATTCTATTCCCTATGGAAACAAGTATAGATACACACGTATATCTTTTGCAAAAAATTCTCAGATTACCTGTCTTGGAAAATAGGGGAGCTTGTTTGAGACAATGAGCTAATTTGAGACAATGAGCAGTGCTGATTTTTGGCATTAGGGGTGAACAAATTTGAATGGTAGGTCCGGTTCGACATTTTCTTAGTTAGGCGAGGAAAGTAATACGTGAATAAAAAGTGTTCTTATTACCAAAGTTATTTATTATATTTGCAGCTTTCGATGGCTTAACCGTCACCGAAGTATAGTGAAATTCCTGGCTTCCAGAAAGCAGATTTAATGATGATTGCTAAGGCATCGAAAGTTACTCGAATAATAAATAAAAATGTTGGTAATGAGATAACTTTCTATTGAAATGTTTGAAAAGTCACTAATGAATCAATATTCTAAAGAGGAAAACAATAGCAAAGTATCACCCTTCCTTCAAATCACTAATATGCCTATGTTAGCTGAGGTCCTACCAGTATTGCGCGCGGCGATGGTGTACCAGACTGTTGTACCCAAGTTGGCGGGTTCAAACCCGATTGAAGCTGATTGATTTTAAGGGCAAAAAAATCCTTCGTACGCCTTCCTTCGGAGGGGAAGTAAAGCCGGCTGTCCCATGTTAGTAGATTTACTTGCATGTAAAAGATCCTCAAGCCTAAATGACGCCTCTGAGCTAAATTCAAATCGCCTGTTTCTCGCCCAAGAAATACCTCCTTTCTCTGCTAGTTGGTGAAAGGAGCGTAGTGAAATTTGCGTGGTCAGACGGAAGAGCAGGCCTCATGACCTGAGTCTCGCCAAGTAAAATCAGGTATTAATTCAATTCAATTCAATTCATAGTGTTTGAGAAGATCAAAGCCAACCTTCTAATAAGGTTATAATGAAATCAAGGCCTGTTCAATGGGAAACATATTTCTCATTACCACGTCCTCTCGGTTACGCTGCCCAGGCCGCCGGTCGGGTTGCCCGCCTAACGAGCCGTGGACGCCGCGGCGACCGTGCGCCTCGCGCTGCCCGCGTGCCCGCCCTGACGGCGCGCTGCGCCGCGTGTGTTGCAGCAAAGAGCGGCCGCACGCGTCCTCGATGAGCCACGAGAGCTCCAAGGAGAGCGACGAGGCGGCGGAGGCCGAGCTGGACGAGGACGAGGGCGCGCCCGAGCGCCCCGAGGGCGGCGTCGCCATCGCCGCGCCCACCGCCCCGCACCAGGCCAACAGGTGAGCGTTCGCCCGCCCGCGCCGGGCGACCAACGACCCAAGTTGGGGCGTTAGCGCAGCGCGTGCCTGCCCCGGCGCGCAGTGGGCCGCGTGCCCCGAGCGCCCGGGCAAAAGCCCCGCTCCCTTGCTTGAAGCGGACGGTTGCGACGCAATGTTCCCGCCGCCGAAATCAACAATCCTACGAATCTATAAGAGTTTTTACATTCAAAAACTGTAATATTCGCGTATTTTCCGTCATTGGAATATTTCGTGCTCTAATATTCGAGATTGCACTTCTCCCCATTGTATGACAGAGACGGTGTCGAACAGATTTTTTGCTTAAAAAAAATTGTATTAAAAATTAAATGTTACCAATTTGTATTCTACCAATTTAACTTTTATAGAGTATACTTCTCTAAGACTTTAATATGGAATTAAAAAGTGGGTAAAATTTATCATTCTCAGCGTATTTCCGATTCTCTGATATTTATAAAAATTATTGTAGAAAAATTCATCCCCAAATTATTGGGATAATCGAAATTGTTCTACTGGCTGTTTCTCATAATACTTGAACAATTTTGTAAATTTCAAATTGAGGGTTCAAGGACGCTTTGTTCTGTGACTTCTAGCAGAGTCCAGAGAAAACCGAAGATTCGTCCCACAACCATTGTTAAGCTTTGTAACAGTGCGTAATACATAATTATCGGAGGACTCTATACCTAGGTATTAAAAGTCGGTTTGCGTCACCGAGACGTGAATAATAAGCAGCAATGCTCGTCCAAATATTTAGAAACACATCACGACCATATGGTTTAAAGTGGGCAAGTACTGTCATGCCGACTAACCTATTCCTCACCGGCCCACTCTTACACCGTCGGCCTGCTTGCGCCGGCGCCCCTCCCTCCGTCCGTCCCACCCCTCCTCGCCCCGCCTCGCCCCCCTTGCCCGCCCCCCTCGCACCCTCTCCGCCCGCCCCTCGCCACACATCCCGCCTCGCCCCGTCCCGTCCACCCTTCCCATCCACCCGCACAGCCCCCGTCCACCCTCCACGCCCGCACCGCCCCCCGTCCCACCCTCCCGCGCCGCCCGGCTTCCCCCCGCCCTCGCCCAGCCCGTGGGGGCCCGGGCGCGCACGCGAGCGCAAGGTATCGCCCGCACGCGCGCTTCCCCGCGGGAAAGCAAGGTGCTCGTTACCATTTGCTCGCCCGTGCGGCGCGGCGCGGCGCCATGTCGGTGCGCGTTATACAATGTGTGCAAACACCTGCTGCAAATGGTTGCCGCTATGAATTCATTAAAGTTTCCCTGCCTTCGCCGTTCCCAGAATGGCCCCGAACGCGTACTCGTAGATCGCGCTTGCGCAGATGAAATTGTGCGTGTCGAAATGGGATTAAAGATTATGACACGTGGAATCAATGGCATCAGTTAAGAGTAAAACACGGAAGATAAATATTGTGTTTTTAATATATCAAGACGAACATGTAACCTACACACTACATACGCTAAGGAAATAATTGATTATTTATTGAATCTAAGACGTCTACTTTTGCTAGTTTTTTGCTTACTTTGTAAAAGTCAAATTCTTGCCATTTTCAACATATATTATTTACAATATCGGTTCCTATTTCTATATCTTAAAGTACTGGTTCCTATTACGAAGAATTTTTTTCAAAACCGAAGAGGAACAAAATTATTCCGGAATTTCAATTTTTACTTTAATGCAATTGTGAATGCCTCAGGCACATCGAATTGCAGAGCAGCGTGGAGGTGGGCGGGGCGTTAACCGGCAAGGCCAGCGGCAACGTGAAGCTGTACACCGAGGGCGAGCGGGGCAAGGCGGGAAGAGGGTACGCTGGAACGAAGCTGGGAAGATGACAGGAGTGTATGATTTTGATAGAATTAATTACTTTTCCAGCTTAATAGATAACTGCGATAAATACATACAAGGGAAACGCTAGGTACTTGGTTTATTCATAAAATGCACTGTTACAAGAAATATCGTTCTTTTTTTATCATAAGTGTGTCGTCACACTGTCTAGAAACGACAATAACACACTAACCTAAAAAAAATTATTAGGTAAAAATGTAAATATTTATTTCAATTGCATTTATATTTTAAGAAAGCATTTCTTTATAACTCCGCGCATCATGCGACGGCGTTTCAACATTCATTTTTAAAATGTATTTTTCTTTAATAATGCTAAGTAATTCCAAAAGGTGTTCATTTTTTTGAAGAGACGAAAAGAAGATTCGTGTCTGCACAGTTCTTAATGCAAACTCCAAGACGACGAAGCGAGGTAATACAACACTTCACAACCCTTTGATGTTTCTCCTCAGTAATAAATTTAACCTTTCCACACAGATGTTTTTTTCCCTCGGTCAACCTCGTTAAAGAATCATCTTTCGGTTTTACTTTGTCTTTTCGTTTCCTTCTTTCATTCTCGAACGCATCTTTCAATACTTCTTTGCTATTCTCACAGTGCTTATCTTTTTAAGTGTATTTTGTCATCGGACATGCATGTAGGAGATTCATGTAAGAACTGGTAAAATATTAGCCCTTTGCTACTCTTAATAAATAATACTGAATTGTATATTTAAAATTATTGAAGTAATTGATTGAAATTGAAAGTCTTTGGTAGTCAAAGAAATCTATTAAAGACTGCTGCTATTAACGAAAACAGTAAAAGTAGTATGAAATATTATACAAAAACTAGAAGAGGAACTGAAATTAATTTAGTCCTGTAGAAACGTTTATTGGCGGAAAATATACCCACTGCATATTTACGTACATTAGCCTGTTTGACACTTCAATATTTTACAGCCGAATAATGTCTTAGTGCATTTGGAATAGCAATTGTAGTGCTCTGTATCAGAAGGGTCTTAGGTGGAGGATATGCACGTGGACGCATCGCATCAGCTTCCTGTGGTGCAGAGGACGAGAAGTTGTTTACATAATCGAATAGCGCACAGCCAGTGATATCCAAGGCCATCCTAATGGTCGGCAGTGGTTTGTGCACCGTTGGAGAATTATTTCGAAGGATGTTAGCTGAGAGTAATGTACGCAGTTTCCTTTCGTGCCTAATAAAACAATGAATTCTATTTACGTGTCTTTCAATTTCCCCCTCATTGTAGCGTCCTGTTGCAGAACTCAATTTTGTATTAATATTGCGAAACACATTCCAGTAACCTTCAATCATTTAAATGGGTGTCTCTTCCTGCTGCAGTATTGGCTGATAAAATATAGTTGCCGTGACGTACGGAATGACCCTCGTATGAAATTAAAATATTTCCCCGAATCACCAATAGAGGAACATAAACCCATAATCAAAACGCTTTGTAATATTATATATGCCAATCATCATTGCGCATACTGCACAAACATAGACTACCGAAATAGCGTTTGAGTGTTGGGAGGGCGTATTGCGTTGGCGAGATGAAGCTTGCACCGCCGCACGGTGACTTGAAAGGCGAAAAAAGCGGGCACAATCCATTTTATTAAAACTGTCCTATTTGCCTCATTTAAGCACATCTGAAAGGACAATAATACAATTCGTCATCTTATACAATAGTTTCATCAAGTTCTTGCCCATTATTGTGTGGAGCACACAAAATATGGGGCGATACAAGCAGGAAGATCGTAAATTCGTCACGTTCGGGAATCCCTATTTTTCAGTAACGAAATTGAATATTTTCTCAATACACTTCGATACTATACAACTACGTTTCTTACAAAAATTTTCTTTTTGTTTTTCCTTATTAATTGAAAATAAATCAACAATGAACATTTGCGTTTATTGACTTACAACAACATGTACACACATAAATTTGCAATAGTATTAGAAGAGGGACTGGGCAATACTGGCGGTTACGCGCAATTCTGGAAGCTAGACGGAAGGGTCTGCTTTCCGCGCGGCCGCGCTCTGTATCCACGAGGAGAAATGAAGCCGGCAGAGGCAGCAGTTTTCGCAGAAATTTTCATCTGAGATGTGCTCAGAAAATTTAGGGGTGTTTTTTGGTAACATTTTAATTCTGAAAGAGCTCAACAAGAATGTATACAATGGATTAGGTTTTTTAAAGGAGAGTTTATTATATTAATGACAGAAGTGGGAAAGATGTCACATTTTTGGTACATGTAGGTGTAAGTGAAATTTAAATGTATAGATAAAGACGTGATTTAGAAAGTTAAGTTTAATTTGCATTATGCGTGACTGACGTCTCTGCACTTTCACCAATATTCTCATCGCTTTTTAAAGTTTTAAATAGAAAGTAAACAATTATGATTAGTTTTAGGCATTCTTTAAATATATTCAAAAATCTGTAGACTATTACGTATGGTTTTAATACCTCATCGCCCTCACGTCCAAATCAGCGAATTAAAAAAAAAATCTGTCTTTTCTGGCGCACGAGTACATAACTTTCTCTTCATACGAAGAACGCGTAAGGCGAGAAAGTAAAAAAAATCTGACTTCAGCACATTCGATTCTACGTCCAAAAAAATTCTGGACTACGGTTAAAAATTAGGTGCGCAGTCCCACACCCCATGGGGGCAGGTGCGTAACCCGCCGGGAGGAGCGCTGCTGCGAGGGCCGGGCCGGGCCGTGTGCCGCGGTCGCGTGCGCCTGGCGGCGGCCGCTCGAGAAGGCCTTCACCGCTCCGCGCCCCGCCGGGCGCACGCATCGCGGACTCACGCCCCCTCTCCCCCCCTCCACCCGTGCGTTACGCAGGCGCAATAATTCATTAGAATCATTTCCGAATCCCCCCTCCGCGGCGCCGCCCCTGGGAACGATCCTCTGACCGCCATCGACCGCGTTCGGCCCTCGCCGCCAGCGCCTCCCCGGCCCCGCTCTGTTTGCGGAGTGCATTTCCACGCGGGCGACATCAAAAATCAATCATACTGATACGCGTTATAGCAGGCCGCGGGGTTATGTCGCAGAAGGAATGGAAGAGCTTCGTGATGGAGTTGTGAGAATTTATTGAGAACTGAGTGCAGCCAAGAATATACGTCACGCGCGTTCTATCACATCATACATGTGAACCCGTTCGAACCGTTCTAATTAACATACAATGAAGGAACCAATTCATTTTTGGTAGTAAAGAAATTATGTGAAATTTCAAGTGAAAATATTATGGTCAAATATCAGATTTTTTTTTAATAGAGGATTCTACGATTCCGAAAAGTAGTAGCTTAGGTACTCGTACATCATATATGGACATGATATGAGAAATGAAAAAGGATTTTAAAATAATTAACGTTGTCGTAGAATGACTGGCCTCATCGGAATGATTAATAAATCGTATAATAAAATTAATCTTAATGAAAAGATAGCGCTCAAACTCTAAGTAGCATTGAGTCGAGCGATGTGATTATATATTTGTGTTTTAATGTATTTCTTTCCTATAAAAATCAAAAAGAAATAAGAAATATTAAACTCTTTATTGTAGGTAGTTTTCCTGAAATTCTCAAAACAATTAATACAATACAGGAAGCAACAATTACATTTATAAAATGTCTAACGCGGAAGAATTAATAATGCAGTAGTATCTTAAAATTACAATTTTTAAGTAACTTGAAATCTAAGAAAAACGTGCCGAATAGAAAGTATAATAATTATTAGCGTCATTAGGCCGATAAACAGCAAATAACAGTCGCGATGGAAGTTTGTAAACAAAGGCGATGGTCGTTTATTACGAAAAGAATCTGTTATTTGTGTAAATGGCCAAGTGTCATTCAATACTGTTCATGATAGCTTATTAAACAGCTATGCCAATTTTAGACTTAATGAATAAAAATGTATTATTCGCGATTTTCATTGCCAATGTTTAGGTTGGGGTTGTCAGCTAGAGTTCTCTCTTGAAAGTGTTAAGGCACCAGTAATAAACTTTCCTGTAAACGCATTCATGTAGTCATTTCATTGATAACAAAATCATTAACAAGTAAGTTATGGGGTATTACAGAATTGTGTAAATAATGAGATTTCTATGAATTCCAGAAATATATTCATGATCGTGCATTTGCTGCTGTTCAACTTTCAAGAAACCTTCTGATTGATATATTCCTGTAAAATGAAAATGTTTCTTTAGCAAACATTTTATTGGTTTAACTCTTTAGCTAATTATAAATAATAGTGAAAAAATGTCATTTTTTTCTCTCCTAAAGTGTTTATACCAGCGAAGCTCAAATGTCTATGTGCCTGGTCCCAACAACAACGATAGTACAGCATTTTTACGATTATTAAGGTCCAAAGAACTACATTACGTCTTATTAATTTAGATAGTTACATCTGTGACCAAATACCTTATCAATAAACTCGTGTGGTACCATATTACTAAGCTCTCGCAGTTCATAGTGATAAATAGCACACCGTAAACTGGCAAAAAAATTCGGCAACAACAAAAACTGGCAAGAACAATAAAAATTATTTTAAAAGTAGGTATTTTGGATACAGTTGGAACAGCAGTTTTGAGCAGGACCTGAGCATTGTCACTAACTAAAGATATAATAATGTACAGACATAGTTATAAATTAAATGAATAATTATTATTACTGTATAGTTGTGTGTACTTTAAATGGCCAATAACATCCTGAAATGTTTGAGTAGAGATACGTTTTTACTTTACTTACTACCTTTTTTATAACATCTACTACGTTTTGCTATAATGCATTTACTGCTTTACAGTTTGCTCAAAAATATTTCAAAAACGATTAAAATTTTAAAATGCCAATATGAATTATATCAGTAACCACATTCTTGCTACTCGAAAATATGAAGCTTCTTGCAGTAATAAAAAAGCGAAGATTATGAAGAGCACCCCCCCTCCAGCGTGTACGTCCTCAGCTTTAAAAGCAGCATTAAACCGATAACGCATCGCAC